GGGCACCGACTGCCTCCTGCCGCAATCTCCCTGTGTCATGGCTCCGGTCTCTTAGCAACAGCCGCCAGTCCGGCCGCCCCGAGCTCCACTCCACCCGGCGGAGCCCGGCGCGCCGCAGCCACACAAAAGAGGCGCGAGGCCGGGGACCGCGCGGGCGCCGCGGGAGGGGACACGGCGTGCGGGAGGCGGAGCGCCGGAGGGAGCCTCGCGAGCAGGATGCAGGGCGCCGCCGGGGACCCGACACTTCTTGGAAACTCTTGGAAATGGCTCCCGCCTCGGCGCCGGAGGGGGCCGCGGACGCGGCGAGGACGCTCGCCGCCGCTGGGCCGCTGAGCCGCGCGCGCCCGGGGGACCCCGCGCCGCCGTCCCCGAGCCCCGCCGTCGGCTCGGGCTGAAAAGTTTCTCCATGCTGCCTTTGTGTCGCCCGAGCGCCCGCGCCCTGCCCGGGTAAGTGAGCGATTGTTCGCCGACACGCTGCCATTTTGTCACCGGCCCGGGCGCCCCGTGTCCCGCGCCCCTCGGCCCCGGCCCCGCCGCCAGCGTCCGGGGCGAGGCACCTTCCCGGGATCTACGCAGAAGCGCAGCTCGGGGACGAGCGCGGGTGGCCCGCTGAGCTCCCGCCCGAGCCGCCGGGCGCAGGTGACCCCGGCACAAACACGGCCAACGCCGGAGGCCCGGGCGCGCTGCCTCGCCGGGCTCGGGGTCGGGGACGCCGGGCGCAGAGCCTCGGATGCAGGGGGCCTCGGTCCAACGCTAGCCAGGAGAACTTGACAGTCTGTTGCAAGCGGTTGTATTTTTAGACATCCCTCCGAAGCCTCCCATCCTCCACTGCTCACCACGGGAAGCCCGGCACAGGCAGCGAACGCTAGGGCAGCCAGCCTCCCTCGCCGCTAAGTTTCTTGCATGGGGAGAAAGAAAGAAAAGGCCCCCGAGGGGGTCTCCCGGGACACGGACCTTGGTCACCTTTTCCTGCCGGGTGGCAGTGCGCTGGCAAGCTCTGCCTTCAGTAGAGCTGAAGAAATATTAAACTAGGGAGCTAATTACAAGCTATTAAACTCATTTTAAAGATCTCTAGTACAGGATTGCTGAGATCCTGGCCGAGCTCCCTCCCTGGCTCCCTGAGCCCTAGAGGAAGGGAGTGGCTGCCTGTCTTCCCAGGACCGCCAGTGATCTGGGGTGCCTCACCGTTACCCCTAGGTAGCGCTTCTCCCCCGGGAGGCACCTTGCAGACGGTGCTTGGTTTTGCTTCTAAAATGTCTAGTGCTCAAAGTCTTTTCAAGATAACCACAGACCTCCAGCCTGCAATGGTGGCCGGAGTTTAGGGCTGGAAGCAGGAGTCTATCTTGCAACTACATAATAAATGCAATTATTTTTTTTTTTGCAGGGGGGGTTGTGATAAGATGTGTACTTACAGTTTTTAAAAACACAATTTGAAAGGTGTACAGTTGTGTTCTCTCTATAGACCCCTCCCTAGCCTACCTGGTGTTTCTGTTTACTGCAGTTCAGCTAAATTCCAAAGAGACATTGATCAGCAAACGTTGTGGATTCCCATTTGCTTTGCTACAAGAGAAAGTCTGGCTTTACCCATACAGTGAGAGAAGGGCTCAGGGCCAAAGGTGCTCAATGCCACACCAATTCAAAGCAAGTAATCCCACATTTTCAAAGGGCCGTTTATTCTAAAATGTGGATTATTTTAGAAAGGATAAAATACCAACAGGCCTGTGAGGGACAACTGCATCTTCCAGGCTCAGGCAATAGCCACAGTATTAGTGTGCCTATCATGAGGGCTAACAAGACCAGTGGAACAGAAAGCATTTCAACTCTGGGCACCTAGCAGGCCTGGGATTTGAGGAATCTCCCAGGTCGCCAAAAACAGGCACCTGTGAATCTCTCTAAGCAGGCTGTATTGCAGACAACTAAATACACTTCTGAAAGGCAGCCCATTGATTCGTGCGGCCTTCTTTTCCCAAAGATGACCTCATGAGAAGGCTGGAGCCAGCAGCTGCCCCTGGGGAAACACAGTCTTAGGCCATCCATTGTTGCTAGGATGAGGACGCTACCTACTTAACTGTCTACTCTTCTGAGTCCTGGGATTCTGAGCAGT